TCCTCAACCTAGGCGGCTCCAGATTGGTTCGGAATACACACACTCCGAAAGATCCACAGCCAACGTGCTCTTGCGGGCTGGGGAAAATGGGAGCTGTAGTGGCGCCAAAAGATCCACAGCCAACGTGCTCCGGCGGGCTGGGGAAAATGGGAGCTGTAGTGGAAGCTCTCTGGGGGACACCCAGGTGGGGAAGCCTGGCATTACAACAGCCCTGTTCCTTTGTTTGTAAACGGAGCCGTTGGATCCCCAGAGAGCTACCGCACAACCTTGCCCACGCTTTTACCCAGCAGTTACGTGCCACGATATCCAACAAAGTTTACTTGCACATAAATATATCCGAGGCTGCACAGCTTTACACACACCGACCTGGAAATAAGCCCAGCTGCACACTGTCACACTTTGTGGAAAATAAGCACACACAAGATGACTTTGCAGCCCTTTGCTTTGTCCCCCTTGCCCTTGGAGGCACTGGGGAGCCCCATTTTACCACTGATGGGTCTTCCTCGGACTTAGTCCTGTCAGTGCCTGAATAAAACAATCCGGGCTCCTCTGCTCCTTCCAGGTCTCCCACTAGGGCCTACTGGAGAGTCAGCCCCAGCACCGAGGAACCTGCAACTGCCCTAAGAAACGTCAGAAGCAGCTCTGCACCAACTTTGGGTCTCTTTCGCCTGGGGTTGTCTCCAGGCGAGCAACAGCACTCGGGGGGGGGGGGCAAAGCAGCTCTGCACCAACTTTGGGTCTGTTTCGCTTGGGGTTGTCTCCAGGTGAGCAACAGCTCTCAAAGGGGAGAGGGCGCTTCCCTGGCAGCCTTGCTAAAATGGCACAATCTGTACCCAGGACTTTCAGCATGGAAAATATCTGCTCTCCCATTGAACTACACAGCCATTTCCCGTAGACCACAGGGCACTTCCCTTGCAGCCTTGCTAAAATGGCAGAATCTGTACCCAGGACCTTCTGTGTGGAAAGTTATCTCCTCTGCCACTGAACTACACAGCCATTTCCCGTAGACCACCCAGCCTATCATTCAGGGTTTCAGGACATGTTCCTTCTCACTAGGAGAGGCTGGGAATTAAACCTGCACTCTTCCGCACGGCAAGCCTGCAAACTGGGGTCAAGCTATGCTCCTCTTTTTTTGTAAAAAATAAAAAGAATGGATGGACAATAGGCTAAGCAAGCACATAAAATGGTGTGAGCTCCTTGGATCACCCCATATCTCTTCATCAGACTAGACGCTGCAAAAGATGGAGAGGAGTTCAGTAGAACCCCCTTATCCACAGGATCAGGATCAGCTGATTCACATATCCAATGTCTAAAAATACTAAAAGAAGCATCCCCAAAAATATACATTTTTAACAATATCGTTACCTTATCTGGCCACTAGAGGGAGCCAGAGACCATGCTATGAATAGCGTTTGCTATAATGCACGTTTTTCAGTATTCACAGAGGGGTTGGAAGGGATCCCTTGTGGATACAGGAATCCTACTGAAGACCAGACAGATAGGACAGCCAGCACAGTGACACAAATGAAGCCTCAATCTGGAACACGGGAGAGCGGTTCAAATCCCTGCTCAACCATGGAAACTCACGGGGAGGCAGCAATGGTGTGTAACCCTCCTTTAACACGTCACATACCTCAAAATGCCCTCCATAAGTTGGAAGAAACTTGATGGCACGTAACAAGAAATGCACTCCTATTTGTTTGCATGTAGGACAAGGATGAAAGATACATGCAAGGAAATGGGAAGAAGAAAGAGAGCCAAATAAAAGGCAGGTGTGGAGGAGTTCGAACAGAGGATGTGAATGCAGGTGGGGCTTATGAACAAAACAGAAGCAATGATCAAACATCCCTCAAATATCTCTCCTAACTTGAAAAACCTGGTGGAACTCAATAGGACTCAAGGGGAACAATCTAAGTGCATTTCCCCCAAATGTAGGCTTGCCCTCCGTGTCTGGGGACGAGCCTCTCCCCAGAAGATGAAAGGGGGAGATCCTCCCATTCAGGAAAGGAATGGGGGTCCGAGAATTCGTCTCCAAGACAAACGGGGGGGGGTGTCTCAGCAGGGAGCCACCCGGTCCCTTCCAAGGCGCAGGGACGTGCCAAGGAGAGCCCCCGGTCGCCCCGGTCCGTCTAGTCCGCTGTTCCCCGGACTGACCGGCCGCCCTGGCCCTCCAGAGGGCTGTTTTTGGCACCAGGAGAGAGAGGGGGAGAAGGCAGGTCCTCGTTCCCCCGGTGCCCCCCGCGCACGCCGGGACCTCTGGCGGGGGGGGGAAACCCCGTCCCCTTCCCTCCCGCCGGCGAAGGTCGCCCGCTTCCCGCTCCGATCGGCTCAAGCGACGAGGGCGGCTCCTTCGCCCACCCGCGCCCCGATCCCTGCTGGGGGAACGGGAGGGATCTCACCTGCTCTCCGGGGCAGAGATGAGGCGAGATCGCGCCTCCACGGGGCAGCCCGGCGCCGCCGCCGGCATTGGGAAGCTTTCGGGTCGCACCGGACGCTTCGTCCACCGAACACGGGCAGGGAAGGGAAAGAACGCCCCTCGGCTCACCCTTGGAGGGGGGAGGGGGAACCGCCTTGAAGTCAGTTATTCCCGGCCCCCTCCCCAGGAGCAGAACTCGAAAACGTTACTTTCTGGGGAAAGCGTTCCTTCTTTTGGAAAAGGAACGTTGGCGGGCTCTTCGCGGACTCCCGTTCTCCTCCCCCCCCCTCCGCCGGCCCTGGGAACGCACTCACCTGGCCCGGGGCTGTCGGGCACCCCCTTGGCGCCCGGCTGGAGGGCTTGGAAGGCGGCGTGGACCCGCTGGCAGGTGGGCTCCGCCCGGACGCTCAGGA